TTCAGATCTGCCATCAGTACTGCATTTATTGCCTGATCTAACTCTTGTAAAGAGAGTGCATGATATGATAGGTTAGGTAATTTCTGGGGCGATACAACGAACCGACCATTTTTCTAGCGAAAGATCGCATAGATGAGTTTCACTTGAGGTCTGGGGTGAACTTGAGTTCTTATAGACGTTCAAAGAAAGGGGCCTTATTGAAAGTATAACCTTTCATCATTACTGGAGAAAATTCAGGGTCTGATCGGTGATGATGAACCGTTACTATGTTGGTTTTGGAAGTATTACGTGCAACAAGTCAGTTTTTCCCTCAATGAGGAGTTCAGAAAAGAATTCATCTGTTAGGTTCTGATCAACTCTCGCTCACTCCCCTCTCTCTCTCACTTTTCTCTCTCTCTCCCACTCTCTCCACACACACACACACACACACACACACATATATATATATATATATATATCACCAGAGAGCAAATACAGGCGATCCTGTTTTGAATAAGTAGATTACGTGATGGTAAAGGAAATGTATATATGGGAATCAGCGTGCGTCCAACTGATTACTATACGGATTAATATTCGGTGGTTACTATTCGAGCGAGTATTGTCAAGCAATTAGTGCGAGTGTTATTCGAAGGCGTCTGACACCAGTATTGTTCAACGGAGTTACTATAGTTGTATCTGCGATTACAAAGTCTCTACTACAACCAGCATTAGGAAAGTGACAACGAGTGTTCGTTGACATTACAAAAGTAGCAACGAGTATTCGTTGATATCACAAATATATATATTCAGCCTATCACCAGTTCTTACTAATCACGTGTTAAAATAATGTGGGATATGAAAAATTTAGAAACAAATGAATATATGAATAAAAACTGAGTTGAAATTCCGTCGGATTCTCTTCAAAAATTTAAACTATATATATATATATATATATATATATATATTATAAAGACATTTTATGTTTAACGTTGTTATTTTATAGATACAAGTATTTAAGCAAATGCTCTGTTTAAACAGAGCATTTGCTTAAATACTTGTATCTATAAAATAACAACGTTAAACATAAAAATGTCTTTAATAAATAAATTGTCGGACCTTGTCCATTTCTTAATATATATATATATATATTTATATATATATGGCGTCACAAAAACAACCTAAACCTAAGCAAGTGCACTAAGAAATAATCATATAGGAACAGCAATTTTGAATGTCTTATATTCCCTTTGTTTTTAGAAATATTACTATGCACACGTGAACGCTAACACATGACTGTATGTATACAACTATGATAATGTATTTGCACACTGAGACACCTGTTGATATGTACATGTATATGTTTTTATACGGAAAAAGAAGCATATCATTTTTTTTTTTGTTTTTTTTTGTGAGTGTGGAGATGTACAATTAGTTAGGTACTTATATGTTTTGCCATAAATATGAAAGATCGGGAATATTATAGGTGTAAAAACATAGATAATGTAATTAAATACTGAGACAGTCTTCGAACGCAGGCATAAGTGGATGCACAAGTGGACATGAGAATAGGGACAAATACGTGGGTAGATATATGTAAGTACAAATTAACGCAATGTAAATGTGTAAAGATGGAAATATACATATATCGTTTCGTGTGAATCTGTGTGTAGGTGCATATAGGAACTCATAGGCATATAAGACGATATAGGTATCTGGTTACAAATAGGGGTTTAAGGCATGTGTAGATAAGAAAATGTAAAAGAAGGGCCTAATTTTCTGCTAGTGACATCTCTTCCAAATTTCTCCTCTAATATTCTCCAATTGGAAGTGAATTATAAATAGCACGAAGGGAAAGTTTTAGACTAGTATTTTAATTGAGATTGAAAGATACTACCCCAATGTGGAAAATAAAATTATTTAAATGGGAATAACTGTTGATAATCGGATACATAAAAACAACCACGAGTTTACTTAATGAACAAAAATCAAAAACAATCACGAGTTTACTTAATGAACAAAAATCAAACGAATAAATGTCAACCTAACAAGCTATAAGATAAAAGCTTTAGTGGAAAAAGTACTAAATATAAATTGGATTACTCTTTCAATGTTCTGTCTATGGATTTTTCCAATCGACTGCTTCATAGAAAATACCCAAAACTCCACCGAATTTCAAATTAATTTCTTCGTAGATTGTTTTAAATTTAGATATTTATCAAACCTTAACCTCCCAAATATGCACGTTAAAGTAACGCGAACTGACAGCGTCTAAGAATTTGAATGAAACCTGTCGTGTAATTTATTGGGGTTATTGTAACGTCTTCCTTAATGTAGTCTTTATCGCTCACCCCTTAACCACCTTTATCTAGAGACGAGACGCGTTAGATTTGAGCAACATCCAGCCGACACACTGGGGTTAAAATAGGAAACTAAAATGATACATATGACACACTCATATCCTCTCTCCCACCTCACTTCCTGACTTCCTTAACTTTGCGTATACTTGAAGAGGTCCGTAAAAACGTGTGAATTTCTTTTCATTTTTCATTTCAGCTTTTTGAAGTAAGTCTGATGATCCAGAACCCTGTTAAAGGGGTTATGGTGAAATAGCTTATTACATGGAATCTTAACGTAGTCTGTCTTTTATTCAAACATATCTGCTCTGAATTTCACATTGAGCTCTCTGGATATCATCCTCCTCAGGTCTACCCATACGGATTACCTAAATTTGCATAAACTATATATATATATATATATATATATATATATATATATATATATATATATATATATATATGTGTGTGTGTGTGTTTTCCCTCACCAGTGGCACAAAGTTATGCTACCGGTGAATACAGAAGGAGGCTTACACAAGAGCGTTCCTGTTTTAATATTTTTAATTTGATGTAACTACAAAACATTTCGTTTTTAAACTTGCCTTGATAAATTGTACCACAGAGGCCGAAACGCGTCGGCAATGACTAAAAAAAAAATATTTTCCATTTGTCTTTTTGTGTTATCTTCAGAATTATTCTGAGAAATTTAACACACACACATACACACATGGACACACAGACGCACACACATACACACACATATATATTCATGTGTGTGCGTGTGTAAATTATTTTCAGATAGAGTCTATCTGTAAAAGAACAAAATGAATAAAAAAACAAGAGGAAAAACTATTCTTACCCGACGTGTCTCGGTATCTGAGGTACTTTATCACGGCAAATGTAAGGGTTTATTTTGTTGCATGTCTTTATATACAAAAGCAAGGATGTCATTGATTTATCAAGGCTTTTAAATTTGACAACGTTTATGAATATTCATCAGATTAAACCTTATTTTTAGTGGATACTCGTATTTGTGTAGACGCTCCGTTTATTTATTGAACAGTATATTTATTTATTTTCGTTTACCGGCCTGACTATTCGAGAATTCTTATTACAGAAAAATAGTAATGCTAATAAGAATTTTCGAAGATTCAGTCAGGCCGGTAGACGAAAATAATTAAGTATATTGTTTAACAAATAAACGGAGCATCTACTCAAACACGAGTATCACCTAACAACAAGTAATTATATATATATATATATATATATGCACTTCTTACCACTGCAAACGGAAAAATTTAGGAATACTAGAACTTAATAAGAAATTCATCAAATTTTCCTTGTCTGTCATATTCAATGAAACATATGTGAAAGAAATATTGCTGCCCAAATATACATATATATATATATATATATATATATATATATATATATATATATATATATATATATGTGTGTGTGTGTGTGTGTGTATAAGGTATATTTAAGTCGAAAGTATTTTTCCCAAAAATTTTTGTTAAATTCAGCCGACAAGTTCTCTGTGTTTAATGCGTTATTGTAGTTTTTTCGAATAAGATGTACATTGAGATACAAATTGTGAATAAAATGTTAATTTTGTGACATTTTAAAAACAAAAATATTTTCGTGTGTCTCAGTCATATCAAGAACTGGGCGTTGTCAAACATTATCTTCGGTTAGTTTATAGATGTTTTTAATCCCGATGTACAAACTTATTTTCGAATGAGATGGACATTACATTCGAAAATTGGCTAAATACAATAAAAACTCATTCTGTGGTTTGAATTTAACAAAACTTGTTTGTAAAAACATAATAACAATAAAAAACTAAACAAATGAATTTTGTCAGTTTTGTTCAACAACTAGACACACACACACACTATATATATATATATATATATATATATAGTGTGTGTGTGTGTGTGTGTGTATGTGTGCGTGCGTGTGCATAAACTCTGTGGATATAGAAATCAAAAGAGCCAC